CACGTAAAGAAAACTTTTAAACACGAATAATTGACTATATCAAGTTGAAACAAAATTTAAACAATTTCAATGATCTTGCTAATTTGTTCTTCTCCGTATATTAAGATTAATAAACACATGCTATCAAAAAATAGGCAGATGATGATATGAATAATGTACGTTCTTATATTCCGGGAAGATTCATATAACCAATTCAGTTGGAGTTATCAAAAATTGTAGAAACATGTTGAACTTAAAAAATATTTCTTCACATTTTTAAAAATATTAATATTATCAAGGTATTATCAATTTTTAATTTAAATCACCTTAAGTATAATGCTAACAATATTTGACAAGCAAAGCAACAGTATGCATATAGGTTGCGGATGTTTAGAATTAGTGAGTGATAAAAGCTTACTTAATTTTATTCAACGCAAGATTGAAATAGGAGTTGACTAAAAAATGTGTCATGTAAATGAAAAGAATTAAACGAATAAGTGTGCGTGTGTGTGTGATTGTATGTGTATGCTGTTGTGTGTGTGATTGTGCGTGTGTGACTGTGTGAGTATGTTTGTGTGTGTGTGACTGTGTGTGTTTGTTGGTTTGGACGGTCTGATGTGTTGTTGCATAGGTTGTCTGCATTTTCAAACTTTCGAACTGCCGACTGGCGTGATTGAGACGTCGATCCGTGATTCCTACATTCGTCAGTGGGTTATTTAAATGTAAGGTAAGATTTTTTTATGCGTACAGACATTGTGAATCTGTTAGAATGTACATATATGTAAGTGGTGTCTCCTAGCATTCTATCATTAGCGTTTCGTGTGTTTGAACGTTTGTAGCATCTTTCAATTCCTTTCCATTTATAAAATAATCTTAAAAACATCTTTAGTGTTTTAATTTTATTTCAAACTCTCTGGAACAATTACGCACTTTAAAATTTTTCTCCAAAGCACAATACTAACTAAATAATACAAATTACTTATGTACGTATTACACATATACAGATACACGCAATGAGATTCTAGTTTAATATATGTTTTGCGTATATTACATCAAAAGATTTGTGTAATAAGTTCGCATGTGTTCATTGCAGAAATTGTGTAAAAATTAGTACACATACATTAGAGAATTTGTAAAAAATTAAGTAGAGATACATTGTGGAAATTTTGACATAACAAGAACATATAGACAAGAGAGAGAGAGAGAGAGAGAGAGAGAGAGAGAGAGAGAGAGAGAGAGAGAGAAAGAGAGAGAGAGAGGAAAAGAGAGAAAGAAAAAAAGTTTCAGCGCTGGTGAAATAAGGCTAGAAAGAAGATTGGGATTGTAGGCACGCAGTGCTGGAGAGCTGCTGGGGCTTAATATCAACATGGGGATCAATTGATCAGGTACTCTTACACCTTCCTGAGTCCATCTCTGCCGGGAAACATTGCGACGAAGATGTTACAAAACAAACAAAAGGAGCATGGAAAAAGACATAAATGCATAAAGAAACTGATACAGATGGAAAAACACGACAAAAAAATATGAGAAAAGTTTTTTCAAAGGCATATACATAAAAGAAAGAACAAACTAAAAATTTATGAAAATAAACGCCTTAGATTTATGTTTCTAAAAATTTTATTCATGTTTGCTTATGCATTTGCTTTGCTCTGTCCTTGTTTTTATAAGATGTACGAGTATCTCTATGCACGTGTGTGTGTTTATTGTCTACGTGATGTATGTGAGTGTGTACGTGCGTGTTCGCATGTGCACATGTGAGCCAGTCGTCATCTGTCTTTACAACTTTTTATGTCTATTTAATTCTATGTTTGCTCTTGGAATGTTCAAGTAAATGTTGATTTATTAATCATTTTTCTTTCTGTTTGATTTTTTTCTGCCTTGAAGCGTTTTGCTGTAGCTGTGTCAAATAAGGCATGAAGAAAAAAACAAAGCAGGAATAACCACGTCTTTCGTTACATATAGAGACACAGACACATACGCACAGACATATACACAGACATACATAAACACACATATAAATCAATGATAAAAGGATTCTTTGCACGTACGACACACACACGAGCACGCGCGCGCAACCAAACCACAAGCTTACATCGTTATTTATTAAAAACACAACCAAACTGATAACCAGCTAAAAAACACGGAGCTTCCACTTTCGGAATAGGGACTTGGACTGATTGAGAGATAAGGCTGTCGGCTGTTCGAAACAGGTGAACGTATTGAAGAAAAAAAAGAAACATTGGTTGAAAGTGAAAGTCTATCTTATAAAAATTTTGCATGATCGATAATGAAGGCCAAGCATGCATGCATGTTTGTTCGTTTGCACGTTCGTACGTTTGCATGTGTGCACGTTCGTACGTTTGCACGTTCGCACATTACCATCCTTTTCTTTCACAGCAGTTTAACCCAAAATATGACAATTAAAAGCTAATTCAGCATGAATAAAATAAAATTATTTGTAATTAATGAGCAATTATTAGAGCATATAAAAAAAATTAACAATGAAGTAATTAATTTAAAAGCCATTAATAATTTAAATTTATAAAGATTAATAAAAATAAAAGTTGAAGCAAAAATAAAAAATGCACATAGAACAAAATAAAACTAATGAACAAAACTAAAAAAATTTAAAGAAAAGTTTATTAAAAATTTGTCCTAGACTACTTATAATGTTTTTTGGATAAACAAAAATTAAAACATGAAATCCAAATTTGGTTTTAATTTAGACGGACAGATAAAAATAATTTCAAATTATGAAATTGAAAATAAATAAAATTATAAAAAAAATTGACGAAACGAAAGTAAATAACGACGAAAAATTGAATAAAAATGGTAAAAAATGGAGAAAGATAAACAAGGAGAAAGACACAGAAAAGATACAAAAACATGAATAAGAATAAATTGCTAAAAAAGACTAGGTAGTAAGTAAGCTGGATGAGGTGGCTTTTAATCATTATACGCCGAGATCTAACGAAGGGAATTTAACAAGGAGAATTAAACGCTGATGATGATGATGGTGGTGGTAAAGAAGATGATGAAGAAGATGTTGATGATGGTAGCTGTAGTGATGATGAAAATGATAACGACGATAGTGGTGATGATTTTTGTTGTTGTTTTCTCTAAAAAATTTTAGCTGCCAACAAAAAATTTCTGGTTACGACACTGTATGGATGGATGGATGGATAGATGGATAGATAGATAGATAGATAGATGAAAAAATAGATAGAAGGATAGATGGATGATAGATTAATGCGTAGATAGATGCACCGACGCGCGAATGATTTGCTGGTTGAACTAATGAATGCGGTCACAGTATAATATAAATCACCCAGCAAATACATTATGTTAAATAATCGCTGCTGTGTTATACGCGAAAACCGCAAAAATAATGTCGAAATAGCAGGAAGATAAATACTCAGAATCATTTTTATCATCTTCGTCGTAGTCCCCGTCATCTTCATAGTCTTTATCATCAGTATACCTCATCACAGTTCATTTCTTTATGGCATGTTTTCATAATCATCCAATTTTTTACAAAGTTGAAATTTGTAGTTGAAAATTAAAATTTTACAATTTAGGATGACGTAATATAATCAACATCGAACCATCATCATACATCGATGAATAATTATTTTTCTGCCTCAACTTTAAAATCCAACTCACAAATTTAGCTGTAAATTAATTTTAAACTAATGAACACATGTCCTGCCCTAGCTTGGCTGCGTCGACATATGCAACATTTTTTGATTTCTAAAATCTTATTTACTGCAATTCAAACCTTGAAAACTGAGGACGACTTAGCTGGTTAACCATTCATATTGTTATTTATGTTACTTTTTCATATGCAAATCATTAAAATGTTTTGTTGTGGAGAAAAGTTAAGTTTAAGAAGCAAATATCCACAACTGTATATATATGTTTTTTAGTTTGAAAGTTGTAGAAAAAAAATACAAAATCATTCCTATATTAATTGTTGTGGCAAAGAATGGTGAAACATGCCTTCTTTTATTTTATTTTTATTACAACGTATTCCGTCAGCTTGTCAATTTATTTGTTGTCTAATAAAGCAAGAAAAAATTCTTCAATAGCTAATAATGGGAATTTATTTTATTAATTTTTTTAACGAAAACGAAACGTTTTGATTTTGTGTGAACAGGCTTGAATGGCGCGTGATTGAAAAATTCATCTCACTTGCTAGTTTTTGTTCTTTTAGGATGTTGAAATCAGGGCAAGGCCACCACCATTTCTTTTAGCGAGAACCATCGCAGTTCAAAGAATGCCTTTTGTTCAAATTTTTTTGGCTTCATTCTTCATTTAAAATTTTTTCTATTATTATTCTTTAAAAAATAAGGATCTGACAGACGCAGAAACTGTTACAGCATGCAAGGCAGTGGTATAAAATTGATTTAATATACGTGTGCTCATTAAAGGTTCAGAAGACTGGTTTGGAGTTTTTGAAATTATTCGACAAAAAATCGTTCATTTGTGAATTAAGCAAAAAAATTTTTTTGAACTAATAATTTTAATTATTGGTAATTAATTGAATAAGTAATTATTTTAGTAAAATTAGTCGATGATAACAATGTAAAATTAACCAAATAACTTGATATGAACTTAATGAATTTCGCGATGTAGTTTTTATTTAAAGGTGATATAGTACTCTATCATTATTACCATTATCATCCTAATCATCGTCATCATTCTCACGATCATCATCGTCATTTTCATCATCTTCCTCCTCCTCATCTTCTTCTTCATCATTTTTTCCTTATTCTCAACGATGTTACCCTGGTTGGCTGCTTCATAATGGAATTATTATTATTGTTATTGTTGTCTTGCATTTATTTTTATTATTATTTTTAATCATTTAATTTTTCTATTTTGTTTGAGGAAGAAAATTTTTATTAAGTTTTTTTTCCAAGAAATAAAAAACAAAAAAACACACACGCACAAAAAAAACGAAAAATATATCTCGATGATGAAGCTTATGTAATAGGGGTTTTTGGTGTTTCACCGGCGAAATGGCTAACTTGTATGGCTTGTTTAATTTGTTGGCAGTATCCCTCTCCTTAGATATCATGTTACGTTATGTGGTATTGTGTTATATTGTGTTATATCGCGTTATATTATGTTATTATGTTTGTATGAAAAAGGCAATTTAATGTTCTAAAATGTTATGCCGGATATAAAATAAATTACTGTTAAAATGATTTAAGATAAAATCACTAATTAAAAGATAGATAATAAACCGATTAATAAATGAACGGACGAACAAATGAATGAATGAATGGATTTGTTTTTAATGAAACAATAAACAAATAGTTATATGAACAAACAAACGAATGAACAAAGGAATGAATAAACAAACGAATGAATGAATGAACGAACGAACGAACAAACAAACGAACAAATAAACAAAATAAAGAATGAATAAATGAATGATTGAATGATTGAAGATAAGCATATAAGCTGGCAATTTGGCTTTCATCAATTCTTCATAAATGGAGTATAATGTTTGGCTTTCAAAAGGGACATAAAGAAAAAATGCATCTCCTTTACTTTTTAGTTCTTTATGAGCACTAAAAAATATCAACTGGTCTTAAAGTTTGTTTTTCTTTAAAATTTAGTCGATATCGTTATCTTCATCTCTTCTTTTGTTCATTCTTTGTATGCTTTTCCCCAAATAATTCTCAATATTACATCTCATCAAACATGCCATCCAATGTTGCATCATCAATGTAGTCGTAATTTTTTCATTTTAAAATATTTTTCACATTTGAATGAAGTAAATTTTAATTTTTTTTTTCTGGCGAACAGAAGTGATTCCCATGGAAGGAGTCGTTTGATGGAGATTGAGAGGGGCAAACCGAAGCGGCAGAACAGCGAAACGAAGGCGAGAGCATGCTTGCTGGCTTCAAGTAGCAGCGGCAGCAGTCAGTCTTTGCAAAGTGACGATGAACTAGTCAAGGTCGTTTAAAATTTTTTTAAAATCTTGTTTTTGCTCAAAATGATACAAAAAATGAAAAATCGAATCGGAATACAAATTTTACTGAAATTTAATTCAAAAATTCAGTGTTATTTACTAATGTTAGTAGCAGTGTAAAGATGTTTTGTAAAGAGTTGAAGATTTCTAACCCGTGCAGATGGCCACAGGTGTTTTTAACGTGGCAGATGTTGGCAGGGTGGTCGACAGTAGTCAGCAGCAAATTCAAGTCACAACATCCACAGCAGCAACTTCAACATCGTCAGCAGCAGCAGCAGCTTCAACATCGTCAGCAGTAGCTTCAACGTCGTCAGCAGCTCGAGTTTCTCCTCTCGTGTGGCTCAAACAATGCGTACCATCTTTGGTGGTGTCTTCTTTGAATTATGATCAAAATGGTTGGTTGTTCTTTTAAAATATTCACATTAAATTTTATATATTTGATTATAAAATAGTAAAACGTAGAGAAATATTTCTTTAAAATCGCACTTATAAACCGTTTTGTTATTTAAAACCTGATAAAAATGTTGTGATTACTTTAAATTTAACGCAAAAACCTAAGTAAACAAATTTTCGGCGACGAAGAAAAATATGGTATTATATATCATATGAACATTTAGTTTAATTATTGCTTTAAATTCTGAAGTATACTGCGAAATGATTTAACATGATATTATAATGAACTTAACAACCAACACATGTCTATTTGGCAGCATTCGGCCACAGGATGTTCAGCGAGGACTCGCCACCAAGGCACACAGACCACCAGAAGCTACTCAGCAGATCATCGAAGCAGGTTTCTTTACCTCATCATCGTCTTCATCATCATCTTCTTCCTTGTCATTTTCTTTATTTGCACCATCATTGTCGTCTCCTCCATCATTTTCATTAATACGATCTTGTTTTTTAGTTGATATTTGAGCAAATTATTATCATTTCTTATTATCAATTAATTAATTCGTGAAATAATCATCATTAGGATATCATCAACCATTTAATCAATCTGTCTTCTGTCGCATGTTTTCAACGAGAAACGTCGCAAAGCAAATTTTCTCTCATTTTTCGGTTTCAAATAACTTTTTATTGACTTGAATTCAGTTCAAAAAATTAATGAATTATTTAAATGCTCAAATTTCAATGTAAAAAATTTTATAAAAGTTTCTGTAAAATACAAATTTATTATTTAGAATCAGATCATCATAGCATTTTTGTTTGATTTCTGTGAAGATTGGTGTGAGTTGAAAGCCTGCGCAAAAATGTTTAACAATGAAATGAGTGGTGCATATATAAAAGAGTTACTGAATCAATTTGTTTTGAAGCTTTCTCGCATTTGATTTATTCAAAATGTTCAGTTTATTATATAATTATATATTCGAGTTTCCTCTGTATGATGTATCGACGCAGACTTGTGTAGGTATGTGTGTATGAAATTTTCTTCTCGCCATGTTCGGTTGCATTATATGGCAGCATAATAAAGCCATAAAATTTTTCATCTATCTATTCAGGCTTCTAAGCGCAAGAAAAACAGACGCACAGGTTCACCCGACCTCGGTGGCCGGGTCAACAGCGAAGAATACGACGACAATGTTTCGAGTGACGACGACGACCACATCCATTCGGCTTCCACTTCTGCAACCGCTGCTGTTGCTGCTACTACTATTGTTGACTTTGGTGGTGCTGATGGTGACAGTGTGAGAAATATAAATCGTGATGACACGAGTCGTAGAGCAGCGAACGAGTTGGAAGTTGGCAGCGACGATAACAATGACCCCACGAACTCTCTGCCTCGACGAGGAAGAAGGCAGGCGATCTTCGATACAAAGGTCCCAATTAATCATTTTGTCATCAGCATCGGTTATTTTCGCGCCAATAACTTTGCGCCAGCGTCCAGCAATCAATCAATCAGAAATAAAGCCCAGTGAATAAATAATACCTGCAACGATCGAACCATATGCTCATTGCTCATTGGCTATTTTTTTTTATTTCATCACATTCAATGGCGTCGTGAAAGTTATCTATCAGTCACGGGTTATGTAAGAATTGAAATAAACTAACTTTCAATATTTTAGATACAGGTAAGTTTTAGGCTAAAAGAGCATTCAATTTTCGAATTATGCGCGCAATAAGCTAGTATAGGCACTATTAACAAAAACAATTCGATAATAATAATTTTTTCATCATCATTAACACAAACTTTATTATTGCACATATTATACCGTAAAATAATTTGTATATTTACCTTTATTACTTGCAGAGTTTAGGCATGGAGGGACTTGACCTTTCACCTTCGACCTCGTGTGACGAAAGCGACAACATGTAAGTTCAACTTTCCTCTGCATTTGATTTTAGTTTTTTTTTATTATTTGGTTCAATGCTCTAAAAATCAAATTAACTGGTTTCATATAATATTTTATTCGTCATTGCTTGACTTAAGTTTAAAAATTGCATTGATATGAATAAAAAGTTGCTTAAGCATAAATACGAAAAAAATCATGCATCGATATGATAAAGGTTGTTTACACATAGAGATGGAAAAAAAGTTGTTTATGCAATCGTTAACATGACGCAATATTGTTTGAATCTCTGATCGCCCCATAACAACATTCCAAATTCGCAGTTTTTAATCCGATCGTTGTTGACTCACGTTAAAGTATCGTAAATCAACTAACATAAGTTTCAATCGCCATAGACACAATTACTTAATATCGAACATTGAACAACTGGATAGATCAAGCAGAAAGAATTACAATTTCAAAAACTAAATTTTTTAAGCGAATGTAAAGAATTTAACGTTTAACTGTTGACTATCAACGATCGGCAGAGGCTCAGAGAGATGAATTGTGGGACGACTTGTGAGAGCGATACAGACGATTGCTCTGATTTTCGAGGAAGAAAGTCCAGTAAGAAAGGAGGTGCTTGCGACTTTACTTCTTGTAACAAAGGTAAGGGAGATCAGAAAGGAGAGCCGAAGTGTTCGTGCAGAGGGGGAGAATCCTTCCAGAAGTGGAAGAAGGAGATGCTATCGAAGGAGTGTAGCAAGGGATCATGTGGCAAGAATGCCAAACGTTCCTACAGTGACACCTCCTGTCGCGCGACGAAAAAAAGTTCGACGAGTAGCAAAGAATGTTGCGGCTGCTCGTGTGCGTCATTCGTCTTTTGTGCTGCCGCGCTCGTGGCTGTCGGTGTCACTGCTGCCTACATCAAGAAGAAATATATCGATTGAATCCTCTTGCAGCTCCACCACCTTCATCATCTCGGTGACAATTGCTTTTTAATTAGTTGGTGAAAACTATGAACTACGAAGAATTCGCTTGTTAAATGTTCAATTTAAATTAGTACGCCCACCTAATAAAACATCTTTCTCGTGTTCGAGTCTTTCGTTTTGGTTTACAATTTTTCAAAAATTATTCAATCTAGCAAAATATAACTCAAAATAGTTTTGAGTATGGATGGCGAACATAGCACCTTATAGTAATTTGAATCTTTTTCAAGTCATGTACAAATGAATTTTAACAAATGCAATTACACGCGACACTTTGCTGAGAGGTTTGAATATGATTGCTTTCAACGACTTGACAATTACTTTGCAAAAAATAGTTTAATCGGCACTTACATTTTCTTCTTGCTATGAAAAGTATTATAAGAAATATATTTAGTCGTTTGGCTCAATTTCGTAACACGTTTATAAAAAACATAAGAGTAATAATTTTTGACTTACTTTTTAAACAGATCGGATAACAAACCAGCAACTTAGATCAGATTAAAAAAAACTATCACAAATTGAGCAGTTAAAAGTAAAGCTCTTTGCTTTAAATGCAATTTATTTCAATTTCAAGGTGAGCAGTTAGAGTTAATCATGGTAAATAATATTCGTTCTGACTGAATGACATTCTTTGCGCGTCTTGTAACACGTAAGCTTATGAGTGTGTAAAAATTAAATATAAAACTAAAGGAATGACCAATACGGTGATAGGCAAATTTATAAATTTTCTTACAAGCATTCGTTATAGATGCAAAACGCTAAATGCAAAATTGCTGCTGAACTTGAAGATGAAGTGAACTACTCGACATGAAATATGCGCGCTGCTCATAGCTATTTTTATACTTGCGATATTGCACTGCTGATCGAGTTGCTCTCCTCACAAGGTGAGCAATTAATTCTAATGCAATTTCTCCGTCTGCGCACTGCATGAAAAAACATGTTAGGTTATTTTTGTCATTTCCTTCTGCAAATATCAGTGCGTCCACGCTGGAAAGTCGGGAGATTTCAAAAGCGATTTTTTTCCAAGTGCAATTTAAATAAACTCAATTGCATTAAGTAATGCTTTTTTAAAAATATTCTTAGTAACTTCTTGAAAGTTAAGTTTTTGGATATTGTGAAATGACTTGAAATTCAATGTTTTTTTTTAATTTTTAGCAACATGTTTAGCGAAAGATTTATATTTTCCCAAATTAAAATGTCCTCAAATCAACTTTAATTTGTTTTACTTTTAAAATATTCAAACTTGCCATCCTCACATCAATAATCCAACGTTCCTTGCAACAAGAAATTCGCTAGCTGTCAGTATGGGAACGCAGTTGAGACGACGGAGCTCTGTGGATGAGCTGCAGATGTTGATGACCATGAAGGAGAAAGAAGGTAGGAGGAAAAAAGAGTTTGCTGTTAGACCACTGCTCAAAAGAAACACCATCGCCGATTTTGCCACGTCCAAAACTTTCCAGGGTTCCACCGCGAGCCTTCTCTCTGCCGGAGATCAAGGTTTTCCATGAGAGAACTTTGAATAAAATTTTTATAAACTTAAACGTTTGATCAATTTTGTTTTTATCATATCTTGAGATATTGTAATAATAACTCTTGCAATATTTGTAATTAAATTATCACAAACAATCGTTATATATTTATATTTACTTGGAGTAAATTTTCTATTTTTACCATTTTACCGGCAGTTTTAGAAAAAAAGTCCAAAAATGCATTTTCTTTTCTTAAATTGGTTAGTCAAAATTTTTCAGCGATAAAATTATATAATGGATAAAAGTATCAAATTACCTGCGTAGATTGACAAAAAGTGCCACCGATCAAAAGATGACTACAAGGATTTGAACGAGGTGCTCAACAGTTTAAAACCATCAGAATTTAAAGATTACCATCTAAACACTTACAAAGTACTTGCTTGTTTTCTTCGTACCATCCATAACACCGCATATTTTCATGTAAATAAGTTAATAAAATCTTAAAATTTAGCTAAAAGCTGAAAAACTTAACGATCCTTAAAAACCTATCTGCCGTGCCGCCCATTACACAGAACATGCATTGGACCGACCTGATGGAGATGCAACCATCAACATCGACCGGTGCAACGAACAACAACAACAACAAGCCTAAGAAACTTGTTGTAAATGAGATGGAGAGGAAGAGGCGGGAGGCTGTCTGGGAACTTTTCCGAAGTGAATGTGTCTTCCTCATAGATCACCTCATGGTCCTCAAACATGTGTGCTTCAGATTTTCATTTGTTTATCATATTGGGCAAACGTTTTTATATTGGGTTGTGGAATAAAATTTTATTTATTTTAATTTCAAGCATTATGTTTATAATAACACATATAGTTCTATAAAATTGTGCGTGTTATATTTGTGTGTGTTATAATTAATAATATGCGTGTTATAATTATTTGCATAATTCGCTCTTATAAGATACATTTCATATATTTTATTTTACATTTCCAAACTTTCATCCAGTATTTTTAATTTAATCAATATGTTTTGTATGATGAAAAAATTAGCAACGAAATGTCGCTGAAATTGATGTGTGCTGACGTAGGTCACTGCGTTTTTATTCTAAATACCTGGGTGCGTATTTGAAAGTTAACATTTGATTCAATACTACTACTACAGCTGGACAGAACGAGCAGAATAACTTAATTAATTTATCAAATTTTAAAATATAACTGCTTTTTATCTCAAAATGTTAACAATTTTTAAAAATAAATTGTTCAAATTTCAATAAAACTATGATGGCCCAGTGTTTTATGGAGCCAATGAAGAAGGTTCAAGTGGAAGGCCACCTCATGTTCACAGAGCCACACCAGCTGTTCGGCAACCTAGATGAACTTTGCTACGTCAGTTACACTTTCAGTAAAGACTTCATTTCGCTGCTCCTCAAAGATTTTGACCCGCTAGAATTTGGCAAGACTGAAATTTTGATGAGAGCTCTTAAAAGGGTTAGAGTCTAATATGCTCTAGGCGTGCGTGTTTTTGTATTTAATTTTTGAATTTTCATTTTTTTGAATTTTTATTTTTGTCACTTTTTATTTTTTGATTAATTTTTATATCTGATTGAAAAATGTTGATCATGAAATTGTTGTTCATTGTCACGATTTAAAAATTCAGTTCTGTCAGTTGACGAGAGATGGAGAGGTCTACCACGACTACTGCTTAAACTACTCTAAAAGCACCAACTATCTCGAGCAACTCAGGAAAAACGAAGATTTCAACGAATTTGAAAAGGTATTTTTTTTCCTCTCTCTCTCTTTCACTCTCTTACTCTTTCTCTCTCACACACACATGCTTTCTCTCTCTCTCTCATATATATTTATATTATTTATACATATATATGCTGTATATATGTATTTAATTTGATGGAAAGTTATTTGCATACCTGGATTTGTGTTTAGAAAATCATTAAACCCATATATATTTAATTAAATATAAAAAATGCAAAACAAATTTTATTATATACATATATATATACCCATTCAAACAATATATATATATATATATATATACACACATAAAGGTAATTATTCCTATTTCAAGAATAAAAGGTGAGAGGCTAATAAGTCTCTCTTTATAGAGCTTCATTGTATTCAGTGCGTTGGTGACTGTACATAAATCGTCCGTCATTCCTATATCAGTTGTGCAGTAGTACACATAAGTTGTACTGTACACATCAGTTATGCACATCAGTTGTACACATCAGTTGTACACATCAGCTGTACACATCAGCTGTAAATCTGTTGTACATCATTCGCACATTAGTTATACATAGACCTTACACAAATTTGACAGACAGTTTTATAAATGCAAAACGCCAATGGGATTGATGGTCACGATTTGTTGACATTCTGCAGAAAAATATGAATTAATCGTTTGGTGTTATTTATTTTCACTTGCAGTGGTGCAACCAGGATGAGAGGTGCCGACGACTCCAGCTGACTGACCTGCTCATCTCGCCACTGCAGCACTGCACCAAGGTGCCATTACTCTTGCATAACATCCGCAGGTTGTTGCTGGTCACTTGCTATGCAGTGCTAATCATATTAAAATTCATTATTCATTCATCTAGCCTGTCTGTTTAAAGAAAAATAGAGTTTTAATTTTTAATTTCTAAATTAGAAGCATTTATTTTATTAATTTTTTTTTCTTTATTATGCAGCTCTGACATACGCATAACCGCTTACATATCATCCCTGTATTTAAACCTCCGTGCCACAAAGACTGTACTATCCACACCAAACGACGTACATGCACATGCATGTACATGCACGCGCAAGTACCGCATCATACACGCATGGGGAATGATAGTCTTTGAGTTTTGGACAAAGAGTATTCCAACCAAACCATCACGTAACTGCACGAGACATGACACTTTTACCGACTGAGCTAACTCGCCGACCCATTGTGTCAATTATTTTCGGACAAAGACTTTTTGATAGTTATAATTATACTTTTTATAAATTTTGTTACAATTAAAGTTTTTTCCATTAAATAATTAATTAAATATTTGAAAATTATGTTCAGATACACAGCAAGCAGCAACGATCAACAATGGCTATCTGAGACATTATCTAAACTCGAGTCGTCTTTGGGTCGGTAGCAGTAATCTATTTTGAACATTAAAATTGACTACATTAATGTTACTAACAACATTTAAAACATTAATTTTTAAAGCCATGATCAATTATATCAATAGATTATAATCACCGTTGTTATAAAGTAATATTGCAAATTGTTTAAGGAATGTTTAATTTTGACATCAAACACATTTCTTCCTTCAAGTCAACTTGGAAACGAAGATGGTTTGTCTAACGAACTACGAGCGGATACAAGAGATCCAACACCAAATCGTCTGGCAACCAATCACCGAACTGGAACCAAGGGCTTACATTCCCGATGTTGGCAGCATTTATCTTTTTCCGAATGTTTCACAAATTTTGGGGTTTTCTTTATATCCACATACTTGCATTTTCAATATTTATCTTTTCAGTTAAAAAATGGGTGAAAGTAAAAATGAATGTTTACTATATTACTGAGTGTTTCATATTTGCACCGACTCCACTTTTGTTCAACAGTTCCTTCGCTGCACACTGAGCCGACAGCCGTGTGAGAAACTGCTGACATGTACCAGTCGGAAATTGATATACGAGGGTTTCGTCAACTTGCTAGGTAGTACGGTCTCAATATTTTCATTTATGTTGCTGTCAAGTTAAAAAGTATAAATAACTTTTTAAACGCTATCTAACTTATCCCATTTTTTCTGCAAACCTAAATATTTTATCACTTGAATAATTTCTGAAATGATTTGAACTTGAATAAAATGTATAACAATTAAAATAAGTTTAATTTTTTTCTACTGGCAAAGAAATATCAAAAGCCATCACAATGTACATGTTCCTCTTCGACGATATCTTGCTGCTGACCAAAATAAAAAAGTCAAACAGAAGGGTGAGTGAGAATGTTAAATCTCAAGTTGTCTTCCATGTTGTACACATTATTGCCATTTCTTTTCGCCATTATTTATTTTTTTTATCCATTGAATGTTTAAAAAATAAATGCCTAATGCAAATCCAGCATTTCTTCAAAATAATATATTTAGAAATACTTTGATGTCCGTAGGTTCTGCCTCGAAACTGCGCCGCTTGTTCGATTGACACCTCCTCCACTTCATCCACCAAATTGCCAAACGAAGGATCCGTCTTTGTGGTCTACAGGCAACCCCTGGCCCTTGATAGGTTCACCGTTCATGACGTCAGACCACCAGATAGTCCAGGTAGGTCGCTTTTTTTATTTTGTTTGTTTTATAGTGTGAATGTTTGTTTTCTGCTTCATGTGTTGATTTCTATGATTCAACATGGTACGTGGTGTGTTGATTTGTATGTCTAAGCATGCTATGGGGTGTGTTGATTTGTGTTATTCAACATGCTATGTGGTGTGTTGATTTGTATGTTGACTTGCTTGCAGATTTGTATTATGATTTTTATGTTGTTTTTATACGTTGATTTGTTGTACGGGTTCATATGAGCGTTGGTCTTTGGATTGACACGTCTGCTATGATGGATTGTTTGCGTTTCTCCCACTTTGATTGATCGTTTGTTTGCATTCCAAGTTAATTGTTTGCTCGTACCATTTTTATTCTCTAGTATTTATAAAAATTCCATTGTATATTATACATCTAAATTAATACGCAAGTAAAATTTATACTCTCATGACGAAACAACGTTTTTATATGTGTTGGGATTTGCCATCCGAGGAATGTATTTAAAAGTGGACTTGTATGTTGTTTCTTGCAACATTATGATCAAATTCCTTGAAAAATTTAAAAACCCATATTTGGATCGGGACGGGCAGGAGTTCAACCGCCTGTTGAAGCGACGTTCGAGCAGCCAACAAACGGCGGAGAAGCCTCAGATGCCGGGAGTGACGCAACAACTTCTCACGGACGAGATTGGTGCATTCCACATCTCGATGAATGCAATCCAGGTTCTTCAACTCAAAAATCGAGTTTCTTTTTCGGATGTGTGTCTGTGTCGAACGTCTTGAGGAACGCTTTTGTCCTCGTTCAGGTCAATCGCTTCCAGCAGATCATCGGAGTCTTCACCATTCAGGCACATTCCAACGTCAGCAAGGTTGCTCATTTTGTGTTAGGGAGTATGCGTCATTGTGTAGGGTTAATCTTTGTTGGACGTTATTTTTTATTCATATTAATTTCAAGTTTTTCAAATTAGAAATTTATGACTTCTAAAAAATTGATCGATCATTGATTTCAAACAGCGCTAAAATTTATTATTTGTACATTTTCAAAGTTAGTCGTAAGGTTATTGTTTATCAGAATGAAAAACTAAACAATTGTATTCGTATTTTATTATCAGTCTTTTTTATTATTGTTTGTTTCAGTTATCAAACTTTAGTGTTTTAAATTTGAAAAATTATTGTTGAATAAAATTAAACTACAAAAATTTCAACGCGCCAGACATCGTGGCTGCAGCACATTCACGAAGCGCAAGTCAACTACAGAGAAACGTTGGACAATCCAAACTTGTCCTCAGCGACCGCTTTCGCCGACAAACCGCCCTCATCCCCATTTGTCCAGCAACCATCAACAACAGCCTCCAAGTTGTTCTTCAGCAGCATGATTGGTCGCAGTCAAATGTCTATGTCTATCGCTCCATCCGTGGAACAACTTTTTAAGGCACCTGGAATCAGGAGCAGGGAGGGCAGTAGGTTAGGTACAATGTCTTCAGTCGCGAAACCGACATGCACTGAAACAATCTCGCTAGCTACATCCTATGCTACAAAGCCAGCTGATTCAAAACCACACTACAAGCGAGACATGAAAATTGTTATAACTCCTGAACAGACTGTTTATCAAGTCGTAGACACTAAGGATAGCCGAAACCAGATGACAGTGCCAGGAAAATGTGGGGGTGTTAGTAAATGGAGAAGTGTATCGTCAGACGCGGCAACAGTGACTTCTCCAACCTCTGAAAGTGTGGTAAGGAGGACATCCGATCCAATATCAACTTCTCCGTCCAATCAACTTGACCAGCAGCAGCAACAACAACTTTGTTTTGAACACGAACAACCACATGAACAGCCACAACAGGAAGAAAGCATGCTTCATCAGCACCAACACAGAATTATTTACCACAAACCGCAGATACATCATGAGGATGTTCCGATGCCCCCTTCATTATCCCCCGGCATGCTGTCACTGGGTTTGAACCAACAACTTACGGCCCATAGTTATCAACATTTAGCTCAGCTAAACTACCACCACCAACAACATCAGCAACAACAATTCAACCTACTTTATCAACAACAACTCTACCAACAGCAGCAGCAATACGTGTTGCAGCAACGGTTGCAGCAATCCAGATATCCTTCTGTGCCAAAGAATCTTGAATATTCACAATCTTTTGATCACATGACATACGGGGCGTCACCAATTCTTCATCCCTCGTCCATGTTCAACTTACCAAACATTTCCTCATCCACCAACTTCTCCATCTACAACGCGCCTGTTGGTCTATTTCTCATTTATTTTCTTGCTTTTGCAGCAGTATAACTTATGACAGTTTTCTAAATAATTCTGTAACAATATAACAAAATATTAACTTAGTGATGAAACATTCTTCAAAATTTGTTGGTGTTATTCGAATTAAAAATTGTTGCCAAATATAGCATAAACCTGGTTATCGAATTTGATTTTTCCATTGTTTTTCAATTTCTTGATTGTCATCAAATGAAATTTTTGATCTTTCCTCACAGAATTCTTCAATCAACTTGAACCAGCAAGATTTGGCGGAGTTTGAGAGAGAGCAGCTGAAAAAAACGTCGGCAACGATGGCAACATCAACAAACAACTCCACATTATTTCCATACGCAGTCAGCAACACCACTCCAACTACAGCAGCGGCTGCCGTTCCATTTTCACCAACTATAAAACCTCCACCGTCGTTATCGGCGCAGATGTTGACGTCATCGCCATCATTCATGACGTCAGCATCGCCATCTCACCTGCCTCCACATCTTCACAGACCTCCGTCATCTTCGTTGAAACTTCCGCACGACGAAGAAGTGGTGAGGCACTCGTCGCTGCGAGTGCGCAGGAGACCGAGTCCTGGCGTCATCGGTCTCAAGTACAACATCGAAAAGTCGCAATCGTCCGACGTCATCCATCTTTGATGACATCCGATCAGTCGATGCAATGACGCTTATATGTGCAGTGATGATGCTGATGAGATGAGCTGACCGTAAGTGTTGATGAAGGTGATGATGAAGAAGAAAATAATGCTGAAATTGGAAGTGTTTGATCGAATGTCGTTTAAACATAATGTCAAAAATATATTATGATAAACGTAACGAATGATGATGTTGAATTTATTGATGACGCCATAGACGGTGGAAATGTTTCCGAAAGGTTTCTCGTTGTCGAGTGGAGATAGTGATGAGAATCAGTAATGATGAGATGACGATGACGAAGGCACTCAATTTATCTATTAAACAAACTGACGAACGCCCGGGCGCGTGAATTCGAGTTATCAAACATTTCACAAATATTTGTACTGTGTGTCTACGTTATTTTGGCACTGCGACGAGCTTTCGAATGAATATTTTGTATAAAATATATTTTTCACTGAAAACGTCTGCTTAGATTTTAAATGAACATTTTTTTTCATTTTTGTATTTTATAATTTTTTAGTTATTAAACCACTCATTGTCGTATTGAATTCTTAAAACTTGCAAATGTTTTTTTTATCTAGGTAATATTTCAATTCCAACCTTCAAATAAATTTTATATTCATTTTTCATGTGTGTCTCGTTCAAGACGAGAGCTTCATACAAACTAGTCAAGCAGTAACAAAATTTCTCGCTGCTACCTCCAGTCAAATATTTTTTAAGTCTTTTTGTACTTAGTTGTAAACCTTTCACACAAGAATGAAATAATTTTATTAAAATATTGAATGACGAACTGCATGATGTGTTAGTAAGTTACGTTCTCGAGTATTTTTTAAACGAAACGTTCTAACATTTTCAGCCTGTCACAAAACATATCACGAATTGCACGTTAACGTTGGATTGAATTCATAGAAAATATTTTGTTGGACAGATTTTACAATTTTTAAATAGTATTGCATTTCGTCGGTATGAATTTTTATATTAGTTTAACTTGAGAACTTATTTATGTACTTTTTGCTGAACAGGCGATCTTGCAACAAAATTGTTGTTTCAAAATGAAGAATATTATTGAATAAAATTCTTTTCTACATGATTTGATGTCTAAACATATCTTATAAGCTCAACTTTAATTTATTCCAAAAACATTCAAATGTTTTATTATCTGGTTTCTTGTATTTTTTGTTGTCAAATCAACCTGGTGCAATACAACTTTGGATATTTTGATACATCTTGCAATACTTCATTAACAAGAATCATCAATGGTTATTTGTCTGTTTAGACAAAATATTCTAAAGTCACGTCAAAAATTCATGCGTTCAAGAATTTAAATATTTTTATTTACTTTTTCCATAAAGTACTGTAAATGTTTGACTTGTAATATTTAATATTATTCACCCACTCAAACTGGACCTATTTAGTGTATGCGTGAGTGTTTGCGTTTGTGTGCGTTTGTGCTTGCGTGAGTGTGTATGTCTGTGTGTGTTTACGTCGATATGTTAAGTTATTAATTAATTAATTCATTAAAATGTTTTTTTTATCTTCAATTAATTAACTGGAACCAAATCATAGTGCTATTGTAAATTAATATGGAATGCGGCTCTGTTTTTTAATACGCTTGGTCCAATGGAAAATTTTTATTTAAGTAGTTTAGATTCTAAATGAAATATATGTTATGTCTCTGGTTTCAAGTTATTTTTAATAATTGATATTTGTTAATTTAAAACAACTGTAATGGTTTTGTTAATGTTGTCAAACTGTTTGATATTATTGCACTGTGTTTAATGAATACAACGCTTCTGTTTTTGTAACTATTATTAATACATGCTGATATGCTCTACATATCATATCAACCACAAAACCGTATTTCTATTGCGTCTGCGGTTTGATAAGTTTAAATAAATATTTTTCAAATAAATCACTTGTTTGACTTTCACAAGAAGTAATCTTTTTCAATAGACTTTGTAGGAATTTGATATACAATATATAGTACGTTATCATAAGTGGGTATCACGCTCATGTGTATAAATGCGTGTGGTGTAATTGTGGTAATATTTTAATATCATTACAATAACTAACCATTAAACTGTATGGTGGATGGTTGGCAATCCGAACGTTTACAAGTACAAGGTATGTAAATCGGTGGCTTTGCCATGTTAATGACACTTGACGGCCAGATTAAACCCTGTTACATTGCTTTAGCTTCGATGAACTTTTAAACACACATGACAGAATAATGACACTTTGCGGCAAACGACTTCCGTTTCCTATTTTTAGTTTTTTCTGTAGGTTTGAGTTGAGGTTTCTGTCTGTCAAAACTGCTCAAAAAAGTAGAAATCTATACAAATACAAATTAAAAATGGAAGGCAAAAAACCTTTTGAACGCCTTTCCACAGTGGTTCGTCCTGTTAACTACGATCTCACTTTCAAGACAGATTTAGAAAAATTTACTTTTGAGGGAAAGGCAGACATCAGTGTGGAAGTAAGATGATTAATTTTTATTTAAGTAAATTCACTGTGACAAAATTAATGTGAAGTTCGTTTTTGTTAGTCATGTTGTTTGCAAGGAAGGGTCTTCAATTATTATTTTAAAAGGTCATGTCAATTTACTTTACAGACTTCAGCGCCCACAAAGAGTGTCATGCTGAACAGTGTCAGCTTGGATATTGTTCAAGTTGCTTTTAAATCTCAAGAACAAAGTACAAATAAACAGTTAAATTTGGATTGCTTATATTATAATTAGGGATGCACCGGATTCAGGTTTTTCAAATCCGGCCGGACTTGGCCGGATTTGAAATTCAAAAACCGGCAGGGGCCGAAGCTGGAGCCGGATTTTAGTTACCATTTTACATATGTTAGAAAAAATACTCACATTTACGGTTATCTACATGTTGAACATCAAAAAATAACACCAAGCAAATAGTTATTTAATTCAAATATATGAATAAGTTGTGTGATATGCCAAATTCTGTACACAAAGATCAGCTTATAATTTATGCATATTTGCATAACCCAAGTTAAAGCACAAAGAAAATTGTCCAGCTCACTGCACAATTAGTGATGTTGTAATTATGTGTCATGTATACCTAGCCTAACCTTTAACATACCATGTTCTTAAATTATGTGCTTATGTATCTCTCTCTCTCTCTCTAAATATATATATATATAGATATATATCTTTATTTATATATATATATAATGTAACTATATGATCCGTCATGTGCAATTATCAATATATAGTACATACACGTGCACAAGTTCTTTTACACAAAGATCAGCTTATAATTTATGCATAACCCATGTTATAGCATAAAGAAAATTGTCCAGATCACCTCACAATTAGTGATGTTGTTATTATGTGTCATGTATGCCTTTAGCTTAGCTTTAGCCATTAACTTATTGACATAAAATTAATTGAATTCAATAAAATTTTTTTTTCTATTTCTAACATTTTTAAAAATTGATAGACGCTTAAATCCAGCCCTAAATCCGGCCGGGGCCGGATTCGACCGGATTTGAAAAAAAGCCGGATTTTGGCCGGGGCCGAACTTCGGTGCATCCCTAATTATAATAATATTGTGCTTTAACAAATAGTTATGGTGCATCTAAAATTAATTTAGTAATGTTAGTCTTAAATTGTTAATGCAACATTAATTTAAAAAGTGAATACCTATTAGAACAGAATCAGATTTGGTGCAAATAATGATCATTTGCATTTGACAATCCTATCTGCCATCTGATAATTTGTTTAATGAATGCAATTATCAGATGATAATAATAATGTTAGATTGTATATTGTAGCAACAAAACAAAACTAAAACTTAATAGCCTGATTTGTTGAAACTCATTTGTTTTTATTTTAAAATTTTTTTAATAAATATGAATGCATTTTATTTGTTTTTGTATGGTATAAAATGTCATTGTAGGTTTTGACAAAGTTGAAGTGAGTTTTTCAAAAGAAGATGAAACTGTTACTTTCACTTTCCCAGAAGAACTGAAGGTGTATAATTTTAGTATTCAATTTATTATATAGTCATTCATTAGAAAAGTTATATCTATAGTGTACAATCTAGGGAATATTATTACATTTTCAATTTTTATGCTTGAACAAATTCCAGGTAGGACCAGGCAACATAATTATAAACTTCCTTGGTGAGCTGAATGATAAGTTGAAAGGATTTTACAGAAGCAAGTACACAACTCCTGCTGGTCAAGAAAAGTATGCTGCTGTAACCCAGTTTGAGGTGATTATTGTTCTTAATACAGTGTATCTTTCTTGTTTTTATGTTACATCAGGTTACAAAATTATTTTGTAACATTAAGACTATTCATATGCAATGTGTATGATGTGTGGTTTGCACGCTATTCATATATGCTGTGTGTGTTTGTCGTTGAAACTTCTGAAGCAAAGGCAAAAGAGAGAGATTAACCTTTAACATTTTATTATCTATAGTTCTTGTTTGAATTAATAATTAAAAATTATTTCTGTTTTAATTTTCTGTTCAGAATGATATTGTTTCACTAGTACTTACAGTTCGAAGTATTTCTGATTGAAGAATGTGCATGTAAGTAATAAATAATATAACGTTTAGCCTACAGATGCCAGGCAATGCTTTCCGTGCTGGGATGAGCCTGCTATCAAGGCAACATTTGACATCACTTTGGTGGTTCCACAAGATAAAGTTACATTATCTAACATGGTATGTCAGAGCTGAAGTCTTTTCTGCATTTGTTTTTTAATTATTTTTGGAGGCTTGTTTTTTTGTATATTATGTTGTAAATATTTTTGGCCTTTCACTAACAAATTTTTTAAACAGCCTGTAAAAAAAGAAACCAAAGATGAAGATAATAAGTTGAAAACAGTTTCATTTGAAAGAAGTCCAATAATGTCAACCTACCTGCTTGCCATGGTTGTTGGTGAGTATGATTATGTTGAAGAGAAGGATTCTGATGGAGTCCTGATCAGAGTCTATACTCCTTTGGGCAAAAAGGAACAGGGTCTTTTTGCATTGAGTGTAAGTTTTTTTTAATTTTAAACTTTTTTTTTATTAACTTTACCTGCTGATAATTTACAACAAACAATTTGTTCTGATTTTTAAAGTATTTTGTTTTTAAGTTCTTTTCTGATTCAAATTATTACAAGCAGATATCTAAAACAATTTCTTAACTAAACTCAGGTTGCTACTAAAACTCTTCCATTCTACAAAAACTACTTCAATATTGCTTACCCTCTTCCAAAAATGGACCTGATTGCAATAGCTGATTTTTCAGCTGGTGCCATGGAAAACTGGGGCCTTATAACATATCGTGAGACGGCACTGCTGATCGATGAGAGCAATTCATCAACTGCCACCAAACAGCGAGTGGCATTGGTTGTTGGTCATGAAATTGCTCATCAGTGGTTTGGCAATCTTGTAACCATGGTTAGTCACAAGTAGTTTTTTTAAGGACTTCAAAATTGTTTGCAGTATTTTGTTATTTTAAATTCTCTTTAAGTCTTTTTAATCTAAATTTTTAAAAATCTTTGTTTGGAAAAGAATGGTGTGTTGTTTTTTACTAACCTTATGGTACATTTTGTATATTAACTAAGGAATTTACATTTATTAAATAGAACTGCAAATAACTGCTTGTTAGGAATGGTGGACCCATCTGTGGTTGAATGAAGGGTTTGCATCTTGGATTGAGTACCTCTGTGTTGACCACTGCTTTCCAGAGTTTGACATCTGGACACAGTTTGCAAGCTCTGATTTCAGCGAGGCTCTCAATTTAGATGCTCTCAAAAACAGTCATCCAATCGAAGTATGTTTTTGAGTATTTTTCATTTGTTATATTTGACATAACTTTGATTTTCTGTTTACAATTTCTTCATTTTGTGTCGAGTTATGCTTACTGATGATTTTTTATGTAGGTAGCAGTTGGCCACCCATCAGAAATTGATGAAATATTTGACTCCATATCATACTGCAAGGGTGCCTCAGTTATCAGGATGTTGCATGATTACATTGGAGATAGGGTTTGCTAATTATATTATACATCATTTAAAAATATCTATTTTCTAAGATTTTTACTTTCACATTTTCTTAAATTAAATAGGTTTTTTCATATACTCTTATTTATGTATAAGTTCGAAATTTGGAAAATTTTTATATTAGCCTATACAATTCAAACCTGTAGCTTATACGTATGAACACCTCTCTCAACCTCAGGACTATAGAGCTGGTATGCATGCCTACCTCTCCAAGCACCAGTACAAGAACACCTTCACTGAAGATCTCTGGGAATCACTAGAACAGGCCAGTGGCAAGCCCATCAACGAAATCATGAGCACATGGACCAAACAAATGGGCTATCCTGTCATTAAGGTTATGAATGATGTCGTATTGCATTAATGTTGCTCAGAGTGGGCCTCTTATAATTATAAAATTGTTTTTATTCTGTGATATGGATATAGAAAATGAGAATTTAAGGTAACATTCATTGATAAGCCTTTAACAGAGGTCTCTGAGTGGTGTTAATGATAAAAAAATAGATATTGAATAATTGACTGGATTTTTATTACAGGTTTGTCAACAGATGAAAGAAAACTGTAGACAATTGAAATTGGAGCAGCAAAGATTTATTGCTGATGGCAGTCATGAAAGTAAGTATTGTCAAGAGTTATTGATTGATTGGCTGTTTGATTGATTTGTTGATTGGCTGATTGATTTGTTGATTGGCTGATTGATTTGTTGATTGGCTGATTAATGACCGACTGATTTATTGACTGATTGTTGGTTGATATGTTTGATTACCAAATAGCTGATCATTTTAATGATGCTTTAGTTGGCATGTCAAATGAGATCTTGTTTGTTGATTTTCGTCATCCTATTTTTCAACAGACTAAGAATAGAATAAACCCTTAAACTACTTACAACAGATCAAACCTGGTTGGTGCCTATCACCATCTGCACTCAATCAAGTCCAACTGTACCTGTCCACAAATTTGTGCTAAGAGGTGAAAGTGAAATGATCACAATTGATAATGTCAAGTCTGATGAATGGGTTAAGGTCTGTTAAGCTGGTTATTTATTTTTTTAAATTTGTTGTTGGTTATCTTTTTGTTCATAGGTGGACAAAATTTAAAAAGTTTACATAAAAATAATGTAGACTGGATCAACAGAGAAATACTGTTGTAAAAATTTACCTATATTATCTAATAAAATTTGCGTGATTGCCTGATTTAATTTTTTTATTTATTTGGTTGCAATTAATTGTTAATCTTGAAACATTAATAGTTGAATGTTGGTGGTGTTGGATTCTATAGAGTTCATTATGCCCCTGACATGTTGCGTCAGTTGATTTCATCACTCGATTGTAAAGTTCTCTCCCCAAGGGATAGACTTTCTCTACAAAGCGATCTTTTTGCTCTGGTTCGTCAGTTCTGTTTTTATTTTTTATTGAAGTGTAACTATCTAGTTCTAACCGGTTAAACTAGATGGCTTTATATATTTAAGATTTAATAAAATAGCATGAATTTTTCTGGGAATTCAGATTTTTTAGTTAAAAAATTTGGCTTTATCGTTCTATTGTAGTGATTCTGAACACACACTTTTGTTGTTTTTTTGCTAAGCAAACAAAATGTTATTGTTCAGTCTTCTTTATTTGGTGAATTAAGAAAAAATATTTTAAAATTGGCATCTAACGCTATTTAATTCTGCAGTGTCGTGCCAGTGTCGCCAAGATTGATGATGTATTGAAAGTGGTTGGCTCATTCTCTCATGAAGACAACTACACAGTATGGACAGACTTGACCTCCAATCTTGCCAATCTTTCCATCCTCTACCAGTACACTGATTTCCATGATTCCTTCAAAGCATTCCTTAGAAAATTGTTCACTCCTATCATGGGCACAATTGGATGGGAACCCAAAGAGTCAGAAGGTTTGTGTTAATGTTTGTTTGTATGTTTTTTCTTCATTTATTTCTCTAATTTTTCTTTAATTATCATTTTTTTTTTAGTTCTGCTACATATAATGCCAGCTCATTTCTCTTTTTTATTTATTTTTGTACTCTTCACCCAGTTTTTTGTTCAGGAGAAGATGATTTAATTTTCACCTAATAATAGTTTATGCTTGGTTTTTTCATTCAGGTCCATTGACTGCAATGTTGAGAAGCTTAGTGATCAGTCAGTTAGGTAGGAATGATGATAAAGATGTGGTGGAAGAGGCCAAGAAGAGATTTGAGCAGTATTGTAATGATGGAGTAAAACTCTCCAGTGACCTTAGAGGAGCTGTGAGTTTGTTTCTTTTCTAATAATTCTCTCAATTTGTAATTTTTTAGTGAGGTTTGCTGTTATGGATTGTCATTTGTTATAAATTTATAAGTGTCTTCATTTTACTTTTTATTTTTTCAGCATTTAAAAAGGCATGAATTCTATAATATTTTTAAGGTTTACAGCATTGCTCTTGGCCATGGTGGAGAAAAAGAATTTGAAAGCCTATTGAAGGTTGTTATTGATTTGTTGTTAAATAAATTTTGTTCAACAAGGTTACTGCTAATGTATTTTGATGGTTATTGTACTGCAGCACTAATTAAGCCTAAATGAGTCTCATTATAAGTATTCACGTCTTCTTTTTTTATAGTTGTACAAAACTGCTGACCTTCAAGAAGAGAAAGTAAGGATCCTCAGAGCCCTCGGTTCTGTCAAGTCAACTGATCTCATTAACAAAGTTCTTGATTTTGCTATTGGGGTTTGTAAATGCATATCATTTTTATCTTTGTTTCATAAAATTTGATCTTGTAGAATTTATAAAATAAGTTCACAAAGTATTATTTACTCTGGGAAATGTTTTTTTCTCTGTCATAATTTTTAAATTTTTACACCATGTAGAAAGATGTACGTTCTCAAGATACTGTTTTTGGAATTTTGGGTGTGACAGGATCTGCTGAAGGTCGTGATTTGGCCTGGAAATTTGTGAAAAAGAACTGGAATGAGTTGCATGAAAGATACCAAGGAGGTTTCCTGTTAGCTCGTCTTATCAAGGTGTTTATCGTCTGCTCTTTCATTTTCAAATTTATTAAATGTCTTTATTGGATTAGAAGTTTCATGCCGGCTAAATACATTTTTTGAATGTTTCTCATCTTTTATAGGGTACCACTGAAGATTTTGCCTCTGAAGATTGCCTGAAAGATATTGAAGTATGCTGTTTTTGTTCTATTTCACGATGTGTTTCCTTGCAAATATCAAACCCTTTTTTATTTGACCAAATTTAATTTTCTATCTTTGCCCAGGAGTTTTTCAAAGTCCACCCAGCACCATCTGCTGAAAGAAATATCAAACAAAGTTTGGAGAATATCAAGCTAAACATCAGTCAACTAGAAAGAGATGCTCCAGTTGTCCGAGAATTCTTGGCAAGCTATATATAGAGTCAGCAATTTCTTGCTTTTAAATGAAAATGATATAACTATGTTAAGTATTTTTCATCAGTAAGTTGTAGTTTAATTGTACTACTGTGTTGAAAACTCTTTATTTTCAGGAATCACATTTATTAAATTATTTCAATTTTACTGTTCACGTTATTGTATTTGTTAATGTATATGTATACCACTATCTAATTATACGGCGATGACGTTTTGATACATATTTTTAGATTTATGAAATGTGTTGATGTATTTCGAACTAGAAATTGTTGATTGTTACTTTTTATCATAAATTATATCTCTTCACGTAGTTTATTTTAAATTATTTCAAGATGTTTCATGTAACAGATTTTATTCTAAATCAAAATGCTTGTTGCGTTTCATTTAAAAGTACGGAGGTGTCGGTCGATGGGAGGCCGAATGTATTTTATGCAGAAGGTTGGGCATGGATATACATATCCATAAGTTGGGAACGGGAAGAATAGCGTTCTGAGGTTTTTAAACTCAAAATATCAAGTTACGATTCCATAATAAAGCAAGAGCAAATTCCCAAGCAAATAATGTAATGTCGAGCCAAAGTTATTTATTTTGCAGGCTGATCAAAGTCGGAGTATACTTGAGACCGAACCCTTGCTTCAGTCTAAAATAAAAAATCTAAGCACTAAGCGCTTCGTATTTTAAAAAAATGTTGAGTTCACTTTTGCAGTTGCTTCGTTCCACTTAGTTTTTTTTAGTAAACAGTTGTTTTAAGCTTATTGTAATTTAATTTTTTCCACTTCTTCCACCTCACCTTCATTTTTTTTAATTAAATCATTTTAATTATATTATTTATTTTCAGTTATTTATTACCTCTATGTTGCTCGTGTAAATAATGAAAATGGATTTAGTAGAGCAGACTCCTTCCATCTCATCATCCACCAGATCAAGTTATGACAACTCCTTAAGAAGCTCCAACAAGAATGCTAATGATGACGTGAGTCTTGTCAGGGAACAAGTTAGTGTGGGGATGTGTTTTTCTGTACGGTTTCAAATTGTCTGGATCTTTTCTTTCTTTTGTTTTTATCCAAAGAAATTTAAAAAAATTTATTTTTGTTTTGTTACTTGTGGAACTTTGGCAAAGTTCCAAAGTAAGTAAGATAGAGCAAAGTTACTTTGCTTTATCCTACTTACTTTACCTTACTAAAAAATTTGAAAGTTATAAGTTAACTCGAATATTTGTTGTATTACCAACCAGGCTAATAACTCGAAAAATGAATTATCTTGGTTTGAAGGTTGGTTGTTTATTCTGAACAAATTATCTTATAAGTTTTACTTTTAACTATACAAAACAGTAAAAATTTATTCACAGGTGAGATAGACATTACAGAATGCCCAAATGTTGTATGGGTAACAAATTTTGAGAGTAGCAACAACAACAGCAACAATGTAACGGAATATCAGCATCAGCAGAACATCAAAGGAAGCCTTCTACTTACAAACTTCAGATTGAGATTTCTGCCAGATGCTATTGAAGTCAATGTAAATTTATTTTATCTGTATTTACTTTTTCAAATTTAAAGTGAATTTGAAAAAATCTTAGTTGTTTGTAAGTAAAAAATTTTTTAATATAAATTTTTAATTAAGCCAGTTTTTTATGATATAACTGGAGATTTTTTTTAAGAGATTTTTGATTAAAACTAAATTTAAAAAAACTATTATTTAAAAAAAAATAATTATATAGAAATAATTGTAAACCATCATCATTATCAAAACTCTCTTCCTCTTCTTTTAATTGAAGCAAATAATTTTCTTATTCATTATTTCTTTAGATTCTTAATATAAGTAGAAATGTAATTGCTATTTATTATCACTTATGTTGATGATTAATTACCATTAATTAATTAATTAATTAGTTAATTAATGGTAATTAACATCATAATCATTAATGCCGTCATCGTTTTCATCATCATCTGTCATCATTATCATCATCAGTCATCATCATTAACTTCATCATCATCACCATCTGTATCAGATTTATATTTTATTTAGATTTGCCATGTAGTTTTAATTCAAATAATTAAATTAAATTTTTCAAATACTTATGTTTTTTCATATCCTATGTAAATATTGTGTATATAAATAATATAGATATACAATACATACACGCATGCCTAGATAAAACATGCATATGTTAAAATTATGCTTGGAAAAAAAGAGTGTGTGTGTTGTGTGTGTGTATGCGAGCGTTAGTGGTGTGTGTGTATGTTGCGGGTACTGTTAATTATAAACATATGTGCATGTATGGCAGTTAGAGTATGTGGTGTGTGTGTGTGTGTGTGTGTAATTGTTTGTGGCTTTATTTTTGTGAGTGTATACTATATATATGAGTGTATTTCTGGGGTTATGTACACATTTCATTTCACAAGGCTCCCCTTCTTGTGGCATTTAACTGTGTGCATTTTGTATGTACATTATCCCTTACCATCATTATTATTTGGTTAGATGTACAGACGCATATATACATATATATATGTATATATATATATATATATATATATATATATATATGTATGCATGGACAATTGTATACTTACATATACATGTTCAACTGTATACATACACATACCACATACATATGCATGGAATTAAATTAAATTTAATTTTTATTCATTAAAGGACAACATAAGAAACGTGATAACCGATTATGACGTCATACTATACAACATAGATGTTGTTTATAAAAGTATGTTGTATATTGTTGTGTGTATTTATGTATGTATGTGTGTGCGTGTGTGAGTGTGTACGTTTGTATCTGTGTGTGTATGAATGTATGTATGTGTGTGTGTATGTATGTATGCTTGTATGCATGTATGTGTGATAATATGTATATATCTGCGTGTTTGGACATGTATACACGTGTGTGTATTGGTGTATAGTATATGTTTATAGGCACTTATTTGTGTGTGTCTTTTGTGTATCTGTGTGTGTATATTTATTTCTATATTTGTGTATTTTCCATGTATTTTATTGGCTTATTTAGCAATTATTTGAGAATTTTTGTGGTGATGATGTTTCTCATCATGAGTTATATTATCACCATTGTTGTATCTTATTTAAATGATAATAATTGAGAGGTAATTGGTTTTACACCATGGGTAATATTTTTATTGTTGTTATTGCGGTTGTTGCTGCTTCTGTTATTGTTGTTGTTGTGGTTGTGGCCGTTGTTGTTGTGGTTGTTGTCGTCGTCGTTGTTGTTGTTATTGTTGTTCTTGTTAACGTTATAATAGCATGTTGAGGATAATAAAAATAATTTTAACGAACAGATAATAATAATACCAATACAATAATAATAACAATACAATAATAATAATAATATATAATAATAATAACAAATAATAATAATGATAATAATAGAAAAAAACAATAGTAATTGGTTAATTATTAAATGGAAATATTAAGTTAAGAAAAGGAAGAGAAAATCCCTCTTGCCTGGCTTCTTGCTAAAGAATAAAGTAGAGAGAATTGAAATTACTTGCAAAGTAAGATGATGATGATGATTGTGGTGATAGTGATGACGACGACGACGACGATGATGATGATGATATGGAACTGTGGTCTAAATAAAAGGAATGATAATGATGATATGAAGCAGATTTTGTTTTTTGGTGTTGATGAAAGTTATTGTTGGTGTTGTTTTTATCTTCTTTCATTCCATTATTTTGTTTGTTAGTTTGTTTGTTTGTTATCGTTGTTGTCGTTGTTGCTAATGTAACTTTTGTTATTTTTGATGTTATTGTTGATGCTGTTTATGGTGTCATTTATCTTTGGAATGTTGAGGTTATGTTGTTAGTAGGTGCAGTACTGATCTGATCACCATTTTGGTGTTTGAATGTTTTAAACATCACAAGCTTCCCTCGGCAAATGCTTGCTTGGTGAATGTAGGTTTTATTCCGTAGTTTAAATTTTATGACAAAATGTTAACACACAAGCGTTTGAAAAATTTTTACATCCATCCATATTGATGATTTTTTAAAATTTTGGTAAATAAATAAAATAATTTTTCCATTGTGCTACATGCATGCATGTACATGTACATACACACAAAATTTCTGAGAAGCATATTTAAAACATACAAACAAGAGACATACACACATACATCATACATAAAAACAAACAAAGAAACAAACGTACATCCAATAAACATACAAACACAAGACACGCACACACACACACATTTTAATTAACACATTTTCTAACATCAAAAGTACTCTTGTTCATAAATAGGTTTGTTCATATATGCATTTACGTAAACAATTATTCAAAAGCTATACAAACATACAAAAAAAAACATACAAACATGTACATTTAAAAACGTGCATACAAACATTCAAACATGTGTACACGCAAACATACATTAACCAACGTACATACATCCTATGCAGACTTTTCAAACAGTACTGATTGATATGAACGCATCTAGCGAGGATGATTCTAACAAAGTTTGAATATATGTCTCTATGTGAGCGTGTTTGCGATGATATTATTATTATTATCCGTTATAGTTGTTATTTTTATTTTTTTTTATTATTACCGCCTTTTTAGTCATACAATCAAAGGCTTTTCACATTATTTATGTTGTTTTTATGGTTTTTATCACTATAAGCATATTGTTACATACACACACATACACATGTACACACACACACACACACACACACTCATATATATATTTATATATTTATACACACACACATACATATATATATATACAATACAATACAAACATGCATAAATTTTTTAGTGTGTTTTTAAATATTTTTTTACTTCTATTATAATGTTTATATTAAACTTTTTTCAAGTCTTGCTTATATTACTGCTGCTCATATTATATTTTATAGTTATTATTATTTGTATATTTATTTTTTAATAATTATTTTATTTATTATAATTATTATTATTATTATTATTGATTATAATTTTAAATTTGATTGACAGTTGGTGTATTTGTTGATTGAAGCGGTGGCAAGCAGCCAATATGAATCAATCATGGTCAATTCTAAACATTGGGATGATAATTTTGCCAGCGGTTGGTTCATTGGCTGATCTGTGGGTGTGTGCTTTGATTAATGAATGGATGAATTGGTTGGTTGATCGGTTGGTTGGTTGATTGATTGATTGGTTGGTTGGTTGTTTGGTTGGTTTATTGGTTGATTGATTGGTTGATTGATTAGTTGATTGATCGATTGACTGGCTTACTGGCTATCTAACTCACTGACTGACTGGCTGAATGAGTGAATGAGTGAGTGAATAAATGAATGAATGATGGAATGAATGAATGAATGAATTAATGAATTAACGAATGAGTGAAAAAATGAATGAACGAATGAAGGAGAAAATGAATGAATGAGTAAAGTTTGTTAAATATTGTAGATCGATTGATGTTTGTAATAGATATTTCTTAAAAATTCAATTTTCAATTATTTACTGAGTATTTTTTAGCTGTAACGTTGGCAGCAGCTGTTAACTATGATGATGTTTTTGGTTCACTCACTCGTATCTTCATTGTATATTCACCATACGAATTCACCATCTTAATGTAATTAATCATTATATGTATATTCCCTAATTTATCTCATCTTCATCAATCATCATCTTCACCATCATTTAAATCGTCATTTTCATCATCTTCATCTTCTTCGTCGTCATCATCGTCAGATTACAATTTGGAATCATATTGGAATAACTTGCTGAAGAAGTATGAAGAAACTCAGTACAAAGTCGTAACATGCAATGAATCTTTCCATGTAGCTGAGAGGTCATGATGATGATGAAGATGATAATGACGATGATGGTGATGTAGATTGTGATGGTGGTTTAGATAACGTTGACGGTTTTGATAATGATGGTTGGTATGATGATGATTATGATGACGATGATGATGATGAAGATGATGATGGTTAAATGTTGATGCTAATAGCTTTGTAACTATAGTGATAATTATGGTGATGACGGAAGTATTAATATTTTATTATTATTATCATCATCATTATTATTATTATTTATATATATTATATATTATTGTCTTTCAAATATATTATTGTCTTTTTATTAACTTTATTGCAACTCTACGTTTATCATAAAATTTGAAAGATAGATAACGCCAAAATAATAAGAATAATTGAACCCCAATTGAACAATTAAACCAGCCCCTCTAAAATGTACTCACTTGCAGTGACGAGCATTTTAGACTAATAGGATTTTATAATTATCTCATTATTGATATTTGGTATTTGGAGTTAGAAAATAAAAAGATGTTCTCATTATTATTATTATTTCTATTATTCAGCTTGCCTAAATGTTTCGTCATCCCATCATCGCTGTCCGCCAAAGATGTTGTAGACATGGCTACCAGATTTGTCAACAATAGATTTATAGTAATTTTTTTTTATTATTATATTTTTTAATCAACTTTTATTTTTATTGATATTTTTTTTATTATATCGATTCGGTGACATCACCATCATCATCATTATTATTAATATTATTATTTATTATTATTATTTATTATTATTATATTTAAATGATACAACAGTTTTGGACGTACACCCACCGACCAACCAGAACAGCCCTGCTGCGCGTCTCCTACAGGAGCCCTGGCGTTGAGGACAATGCAGAAGAGAAGTCTGTATTTTGGTGGTCCGGTATTTGTTTGTATTTGTACTAGTCTGGTGTTCTGTATTATCAATGTATTATTGTCGATAAGTTGAGATATTCATTCACGTGAAAAGTGAAAATCATTTCTTGTCTGTGTATTGTTTTATATTGTACCAAACAGTACAGGGCAATCTAATGGCATTAATCATCTACTGTTTTACTGTTTTCATACTTAATTTATTAATTGATATAAGGCTTAGTTTTTTAGTTTTTACTTTATTGAATAAATAAAAACGCACTATTGTAAGCTATAAGTTATACATATGATTTATATTTGCTAAGATAGAGAGAGAGAGAGAGAGAGAGAGAGAGAGAGAGAGAGAGAGAGAAGGACATTACACATATATTTTATATTTTTTACACATGTTATGTAACATGTTATCACCGGTTCATTAATGTATTATTATACAGAATATTCAATAGCATAAGACAAAGTCATCCGTCGCGGGAGTTCCCGCGTCTATTCGACCTCATCAGCTACCTTCCGTCCACCGATGATATCCGGACAGCCTACACTGCTCTCAAGCAGATATGTTTGTACGGTGAGTGCTTGTGACTGTATGTGAATGTGACGAGTAATTGAGAAGCAGTGGTGAGTTTTATGGCTGCTAATGTCACCATTTTATCACCAACTTTATCATTCTTGACATGGCAATAATTTGTTAATCATTTTTGCCATTGTGTTTATTAATCATTATTGTTGGTTGCATTTAACGTTATTTTAACCATCAAAGTGTACATTGTGGCCATCATTGTAATAATTTCTACCACACAAATGTTTGTTGCAACTTAACAAGACTCAACAACGCCGATGTCATTTGTGCTCGCTCAAGATGGAAGGTGGTTCTCACAGTTGGAACTGACCAAATGGCTGGACATTGTTAGCAAGTGTTTGTTACTCGCGAAAGATGTCGCAAACATAATGTCCAGTAAGAAGTTATCTGTAGTACTAAAAGGTTTTTTTATTTACTGTAGTCAATTCTTTATAAATTTTATATATAAATTTTTTTTAGACGGAGCTAAGAACGTTCCAGTCAGTTAGAAAAATACTTCTAATTGTAGAGATAATTGTCAAAACGATCACAAATGCGGATTTTTAATAACTCAATTGATATTCCCTACAAACCAGAGTATACCTCGAATGATTTGTCACCCCTCATATCAAGTCTCGTGCAACTGATGCTTGATGAAGAGTGTCGTACCATTTCAGGCTTTCAGGGTGTGGTCAAGAAGGAATGGATCGCCATGGGGTTTAAATTTGTTTCCAGGAGCAGTTCGAAGTACTTTTCCTACTCAAATAATTGCCAACAGGTGAACGTCGTTAAAATTCTGTTTTGTTCTACAACATAATTATATTAAATTTGAACATCTTTTATGACAATTCATTCAATCAAAGATTACTATTTATTGTCGAGATTGTCCTTTTTGTTAATTGCATTTTAACATGATGATTGAAATAACGTTTTTTTAAGAAATTCATGATGGAATTTTTAAATGCCTATTAAATTGTAGTGCAACTCTTTTTCAGAGTCCAATTTTCGTGTTATTCCTTGATTGCGTCCACCAAATGTTATCCTTAAGACCGTCATCTTTCCAATTCAACGACAACTATCTGCTCGAAGTATGGAGCGCCGTCTGCTGTGGCTACTTCAGGGACTTTTTATTCGATTCACCAAAAGATTCCTACTACAGTTTATTAAAATGCCAGATAGATCTCTCAAGAAACAACTTGAATGGCAGTCGAATGCATAGGAAGAACAACGTGGGAAGCAGTCCTGCTGCCACGCTTTCGAGGAGGGGCGAGTTGGATCTTGGTGTTGATGGAACCTTGATGAGGAAAAGTCAGTTGGATTTCACAGTTTTTAAGAAGCAAATGAAAAAATCTGATAACAAGTTATCCGTTCAGAGTCAGAGCATGTTTAGCCCAAGTTATCTAGCGCTAACTGATGTCGATTCGTACACGTTGAAGTCCAGCCGATCTCAGCTGTCCAAATTCAGTATGATGTCACTGAACAGCACCAGGTCCTACTCAACAAACTCAACACCATTCTCTAAGAAGCAACAAATTTCTCAGTCGAATCAACTCGGCGAACACTCGTATTCACCAGACCTCAACAACTTGCGAACTCTTAAAAAATCTAGTTTCTCACAACAAAAGTTGAACGGTAATTATCAGCGTGACGACCAACCAAATGCTTCGTACGACAATCCATGGATTGATTTGATTGGTCAGATAAGCAAGGAAGGAACCTTCCAACTGTTTGATTGGCCACCCGTTTTCGATCCTAGCAAAATAAAATTTCAAAATATTAATTATAAAGCTAAACTTGACTTAAAATTGTCTGCAAATTCTAGCGACAATGGTACGTTGAAAGCGCCTAGTTCGGGGTCAAACAACGTCTCAAAGAGCAAACCTCCGCAAAATGTTCAACATCAAAAATCTGCCATCATATTAAATGGCCAGAAAATTTACAGCTACTCAAGTCTCTGTCAGAACATCACGTCACCCGTTTTTGAGTTTTCGTCCATTAGTTTCAGCGTTCCATTTATTAAGTTCTGGTCGGAATGCTACTTACAATTCCATCCAATCAGTAGCAACTTCTTGCTTGCCAGGGGGGGTTGTACGGCCCTCCCTCAAAATCAGTTGGACATTTATTCTGACACCTATGGAGTATTTTATGAATTGTTACAGGGCATTATGAATGTTGAGAAGTGCCTTGAAAATGCTCTATGATTAATTCTTTTAAATTGGGTTTTTATAGCTCAATGTTTTACTTTATATATAAATGAATTTAATTTATATTACTACTCATTTTTGTTTTGTTTGCTTTAGAATTCTTGTCATATGTTTTTTATTGTTTCGTTTCTTTTAAAAAGAGTAATTCTATAAAGCATAACTTATTTATTTCTAATATTTATTAAACATTTTTTTTCATGATTTTCATTTTTTTCTGTAATTTTTTTGTTTTAAATGCCATCGACCATCGTACGAACATTTTCAAATTCAGATGTTGGTCTCTATTAAGTTAACATTGTTGAAATATTTGCACAGTTCGTAATTTTGTTTTTTTTTTATTTTCAAAACTTTATTCTTAAAAAAATGTAAATAATTTGGAATTGTTAATTGACGACGTGCTAATATTTGCTTTCTTTCAACGAATTTTATGTCATCATTTTGATTATCATCGTATCGTTGATGTTGTTGTCCATTAACTTATTGTCGGTTCATTGATTTATATGTGTTGACAACGACACGCACGATTTCATTTATTTGTTGAATTATTTTACTATTCTGTTTTCTGATCAACTTTTTAGCATAAAAAGGGACAAAATATTACGAAAATGATTTCATTTGTACGTTATAGCATGAAATATCTACTCCTATGTTTCGGCTCTTGTACATATCCTTATTTTTTCTCGTCATTTATTTATAAATTAATTTTTTTTTAAATGTTAATACACGTTTTTTACATATACACGGGCTGTGATATCTTTTTGAATAAAGAGCTCTTACAATCTGTCTTAATTTTCCTTACAAATTAAAGATTACCTTATTATTTTAATTTGTAAATAATCTATATAATCTAGTAATGATCTATATAATAATATAAATTCAACCGCGCATCTTAATTGATTGAATATGTAATGGATAAAAATCTCCCGTTATAAAATAAGTTTCTTCATACTTGATCGATAAAAAATCTATAGCGCCTATTGATGTTTAGGAGAAACAGCGTAATAAAGACATGCCGTGGGATAAAAAGACACTCCCCGTCGGGGAATTGAACCCCGGTCTCCCGCGTGACAGGCGGGGATACTTACCACTATACTAACGAGGACTTGAAAATGGTTGGCTTTTTCTGATAGATGCATAGAACGTACTTGTAAACACAACATTAGAATGGCCACATCTTTATATAAATATCGGAAAAATAGTTTAACTTTTATTCGTTTGTGTTTTTTAAGATTGTTTTTTTTCATGTCCACGAATCGTCGTCATCAGCCTCCTCTCCTTTATGTTCTCCGCTGGCTTTCGAAAAACTTGGAGAATAAAATCCAGGTTCTGCCACGTGTTGAAAAATTGAAATCATTTTAATATTATTTCATTATGATGTGATTGGCAAAATAATATAGATTTATTTATAGAGTAAAGTGATTTTGAACGTTTTTTTTATCCGGATGCTTTATTTGCTAAATGGTTAGAACGTGGAGTCCTATGTTGCGGTAGCAGGTTTCAAACGCAGACTCCCAACTATAGCATACCCTACCTAAATGTACGTTGCGTTTGTTTGCTCCTATGCACCTGTATTGTATGCTGCTATTCGTCACATGTTATTTTAATGAATAAATTGCCAACAGATTAATAAACTAAGAAACCCTTCGTAATAAATGGGCAAATCAATTAGTTGTTAATAAGTGATTTTTGATCAATTATTAATTGAAAATGTTTAAACATGCCTTTAGAAGAATTAAGTGTGTTGAACTTTGGCCGAGTGTCATTTCTAAATTAGAAAAAAAATTGATTAAAATTTCTCTTATAAAATATATTACCATTAATATCTGGTGTTACTAAAATTAGGTAATCACTATCACATCTTATATATAGCATAATTATAACATAATTACCATTTATCAGTTATCCATCCAAATATCAATCCTTTTCATCCATTCATTCCACATTTGTTCGTTCATTGTGTTTTCATTCATTCATTCATCAATTCATTTGTTCGTTTGTATCGTGAAATACTAACAGGATGGATGGAGACTTGTTAGGCGAGGTACTATTGACTGTATTCAACGTGTTGTATGGCGTGTTGGCAGTCGTGTTCGGCAGGTTGAACTTACCAACTTTCTCGTCAAAAACCGCTGCTTCATTTCTTCAGACGTTTTAATTTATTTGCAATTTAATTTTGGTAATATTATTTTTTTTAAATAGAAGTCTCTTTGAACTTTGTCCACTGAATATTCAAAGTTTGTATAATTTTAGTAAACGATTTATCTATTTCTTGTTGTAAGACAAATTCAATTTGCTAGCTATAGAATTTACATTTTTTAGCACACAAAGTGAACTAACATAACGTATGTTGAGTTAATAGATAGATTTTTGAACTGTTTCTCAATGTCGTCGTCGTCAACATCGCCTTCGTGTTCTCCATCCAGCTTGCCGTCCTGGGAAGAACGAAGTGATTCAGATAGAATTTTCCTGTAAGCTTCGGTTTCTGAAATTTTTAAATTATACCTTATTTAACTTTATTTTTAGTTTATTTAAATATTTTAAATTGACTGCACTGATAATGATAAGTATAAAATTATACACATTCAGATAGTGAAGAGATACAAAAATGTGCACATTATGTTTCGACGTAAAGACTTCATCTGATCCGCAAAATAATAACGTTTTAATTTATCTTTCATTTATTCATTTTTTTTTACTCATTCATTTTTTTCGTTTTCCTAATTCATCCATTTATTTATTTATTTGTTCATACATTCATGATAATTAACGGAAAACGAACGAGACAGGGATGTGATGTCACCCATCACCGAGCTAGCACCGAGACTCTTAGAAGATTGCAACAAATCACGTGATGCATTTATGTCTACGTCATCACTGCCTCCCGTCAAAATACCGTCAGCCTTTTGATTCGTTGAAGACGAAGGAAGAGGGGAAAAGGAGGAAATCTTAGGTCTTGAGGGAACCAGTGCCGGTAAAGTTGGTGATAATGATGATGATGTTGGCGGTTTTGGAGGTGATGAAGATGATGGTTTTAGATGTGGTGTTGGTGGATTGGAAGGCGGACGTGATTGTAGTTTGTTGCCGCTACTGCTGCTGCTTTCGAGTTTTGAGTCGATAACCTCATTAAGATTTGTTCTTATTTTTTTTTCTTCAATCTTTGGCCGTTTGCTAATTTTTTTACTTGCCTGTTCGGTCGTTGGAACATCCCTAACAGTCTCGACGTCGCTACTATTGAAGGCATTACGGACCGGTGCTGAAGAGCGATCGGCATTTTCACTTTCACTTTTGTAATCTCCTTTGATGTTTTTCAATTTATTTTTATTATTCGAGAGCGTACTAGAGTTTGATGCATCGGGCAGCACATTCGAGTTTTGCCGGTTTTTACTCTTTCGCTGTTTTGCTGATGCTGAATTATTATCTTCACGATTTGTTTCAAGTTTATTTTTAGAATCATCTTTTACGCGCTCGTTGGGTTTTTTATCGTAATTATTATTCTCAATATCAACTCTGTATAGGTTTTCCTCGTCAGAAATATATTTATTGCCTGTTTTACTTTGGCTATTTTTCAGTTTTTTGTTGTGTTTACCGACGCTAATTTTATCGTTCATGTTCTTATAGTTTCGCTCAATATCAGCTTCAACGTCCATATCATCATCATTCTTATCATCCTCATCATTATCAGCATCATTATAGATATCGTTGTGTCCAACATTCCCATTAGAATCAGATGTTAAACCATCATTCTGTCTAATTTCATCTTTATCATCTTCACCTTCTTCATCTTCTTCATCCTGTTTATCATCAACCTCATCATCTCCATCAACGTCGCCATCATCACTTTCAGTTTCATAATAATTAAACGTCATCGGCATTCCATCCCTGGAAATCCGAATGTTGTTGTTATCGTTGTACGAGTGGTGCACATCGAGATGTTCCCTATCCAGACACCTCCTATCACAACAGCCACACTGATCCTGTCTGCTCCAGTTACGAATAGTCACCTCGTCTTTGAAGGAGATCCGAGATGGTCCAAATTTCCTTCTTTTCCCTCCCATACCGTCTAATCTAGATGAGGCTTTCAAAATTTTTAAATTAAAATATTCTTAAATAAAAAATAAAATTTAATTAAATTAATTAGTTAATATAATTAAATATAATAATTAAATATTCTTTAATATATAATAATCTTCTACAAATACAGTAAGTGATTTAAAAAAACTTGAAATAAGAAAATTATTTCGTGATCTTTTCACTACTAATAACAATAACGACATACAGAATTGAGGTTTCTTGACTCCGTTCATTGGCATGACGTCATCATCGACGTCATCATCAGCGCCGAATGCACACGAATCAACATTCCGACTGGTGGCGCCCAGTGTTTGCATCTGCCTGGATACGATGCTGTCGTTGGAATGGAAAATTTTTGTTGTAGGGTTTATGAAAAACAACGTAGCTGTGTGTGTGATTATCATTTTTTGTTATCATTTTCATCAATATTAAAAACTTTCATTATTCTGTTATCATTTTCATTATTGTTAAAAATTTTCCTTATAGCTAGGATCATTGTCATCACAAACGCCATCATCGTCGTCATCGTCATCATTGTCATCATTTTTCTGTTACAACTAAGAATGACCTTATTGATTTTTTGATGTCGTAATTATCCAATAGCATCATCAGTATGCTAATTGCCTAAACGAAGGAAAGTATGAATGAATAAATGAATGAATGAATGCATGAATGAATGCATGAATGAATGAATAAATGAATGAACGAACAAATGGACGGCTTGCCAATGAAAATTAATTTTATTTAATTTCTGTCTTATCTAATTATTTTCAATAAAATTTGATTTTAATATATTAAAACGTTAAAATGATAATGGATAAATACATATCGTAATAATATAAATATATAATAAATATAAATATAAATTATATAAATACATTCGTATAAATACATAATAATTTAAAGGACCTGGTTATACTTAATGGATGTAGGATGAATAAGCATAGGTACGAATGATTTCACGATCGTTTCGTTACAGATAGAAGAAGTTCTATAGAGAATGAGTAGATGATGGAAAATTCGAATCCATAATTTCTTCAAGCAGGGCTCTATGGAGTTTCTAATAAATGCATTGATGTTTGCTAGTGACTGTCATCATTCTACGTTCAAATATACACGTGCAAACTCACATACACACAGCACAACACACGCACGCACATACATACATTACAATACATCACTAACATAATCATTTCGAACGTGGGGTAGCACTCATCCAAAAGGACATCGTCAAAAATGCAGGCCGACCTTGACCTCCTAATCAAGCTCTGCATATGGCACAACAAAACCATCGTCACTGCCACCGAGTGATATTTGTCTATAGGCCGTTTGCAATTTGCCGCGCTTCAATAAATAATAAAAAAAATAATAATAAATTGTAAAATATTGTTGTTGTAAACAATAATGTTTATTAAAATAGCAATAATGATATAACATTAGCAGTAGTATTCGATATAACAGTCACAGTAGTACAAACCCAATGATGTGATTTTTTGTGGCCAGATTGGGAGCCACGGTTCTGTAGAAATCCCTCGTGTATACGCACTTCTTTAAGCAAAGTTTCTCGATGTAACGAAGCAGATATAAGAAACCTCTATACGTCAACTCTAGAGAACTTGAATTTAATTTTTGGTTCACTGATTGGTTGGTTGGTTGTTTGTTTGATTGGTTAGTTCTTATGTTGGTAGACAAAATTGATTAGTCAAATTGCAGAATGTAAGATCGAGAAGGAGATGATTATTTAGTTATCGATAGTTGGTTAATGAAGATTTTTAACTAAACTAATTAAAATCACTATAATTTTTCCATTACTAAATAAAAAACCGCCCAAAAATCAGAATAATTTATTTGTAAAGTTACCCATTGTAGGAGGGTAGGATAGGTTGCGCATGACTTATACAAAAATCTTCGGGAAACTTTCCGCATTCTTCAAAATTGCATTCATTCTGAAAAGAATGCCTGTTCGTGACTGCTGATGATGCATCAAAGTTCATGGAGAAATTATCTTTAGGGAAGTACTCACTCAGGTGGTTGGTAAGATGTTGGGGATGATCGTTTGTTACGAAAGAGACGTGGCTTAATGGCCTGCCTTCAAAACAATTAAATAAAGTAAATTTTGCGAGTCGCCAAAAGTTACAAAATATTCATTAAGTGAATAATATGTTCATGCAAAAAACGAGTAATTAGATATAAAAGAAAACCAATGCGAAAAGTCTTGCAAACTGACTTGGAATATCATTAGGCACAAAAGACCAAAAAGCATTGCCCTCCAGTGTTGAACTAGACGAAATCTCTGAGAAGATGGCGCTTTCTCTTTTGTTCTGCATGAGACTTGATTTCATTTTTAAAGGTTTCACTTTCGAAGAGTCAACATGTTCGATGCAACAATCATCTTTTATGGAATTATCGACTACATAGCACTGTCTTGCAGGAGGTTTCGACGATGTAGAACGACTGCATAGCATTCTCTCCCTACTCAAATCTTCGTCATATTCCAGAACATCAGAATCACAAACAGCCATATTAGAGCTGTGTAACGAATTCCTGGCAGCCAAATCTTCCATGTCCTTTAAAATCTGTTGCAGACGACATATCATTTTTCTTTTTTGTTCTTCACTATCGCGACCGTCTGTGTGGTCACTTTTAATGATTCTACAGATCAGAGAAGATATTTTTTCGATGTTTTTATTGTTTGACAAAGAACCTTTGGGGAAAACAATTTCGATTTCACTAACATTCGCATTCGGAGGTTTATTGCAGCTATCATAATAAGAAATAGTCGAAGCTCCTGATACGGATCTGTAATCCCTTTCGTTAACTATTGTCACTCTAGATTTTGATTTAGAGTCGTTAGATTTCATTGAATTAATTTGCTGCCTGCTGGATGGTGTTGAATGGTTCGAATTTTTTAAAGTTTTATTGCTGCTGTGACTGGCCAACTTGATTGGAGATTTATCACTAAGCTGAGAATGTTTAGAAGCACAATTGTTAGAATGCCTCTTTGTTATTGTAATGATCTCTTGCTTGGATGGCTGTTTCAGATGAATGTGTTTATAAAGGTTGTCTGGATGATAGGAAGGCAGCAAGTAGGAGGCTTGTGACGGACTGACGCTTAACGTTACAGTACTTGCAGCTAGCGAATTGTTTGACGGTGATCGGTAAATTTTTGATTCTTTTATGTCGCTGTTTTTAATCTTCACCGTACTTTTTAAACTGTCAGTGTTGCTTTTAGAACCAAGGAAAATATTACTGGCTTTAGAGGGTATTGGTGAAGCCTTTTTACTGCTATCTCGACTATATTTTTTGTTCAAAGGTACCTTAATTTTTATTTTTGAAGGTTTAGCCCTCTTATGTGAAGACACCATTTTAATCGGCTTCTTTTAAAATACGTAAAATAAATTTTAAACTGAAATTTTATTGAAACAACATCAAAAATCATACATTATTTGACGATCCTTTATTATGAAATGCTATTTCTTCTGCCCATTTTGGATATTTGGCATCCAACTCATTCAAATATTTGATCTTATTTGATGAAAAAAATTAGTTAAACAATTTACATTAAAATCTAAACATTACAAACTTTTTTTTCCAATAGTTTGCTATTTTGAGTTTTAAAAGAATTTAAACATCTTTCGGATTCTATCAATAAATCTTCATATTCTTTTAGTCTGTCAGCTCGAATTAATTTATTTCTGATCAGGTTAGAAACATATCCCTCCAATTTGGCTCTTGCTTTTCTGAATGGGCTAGATGCTGATTTTTCATTTGCAATCCTAAAATTAAAATCATTTGCAAAAGTTTATTTAAAAAACGTTGTTTTTTTTGTAATTGTATAATAAAATACAGTTAATCAATTTCTTTTATTTCTTTCATTTTTTTCATTACTAAAACTAAAAATATTACTTTCTTATATTAAGTAATTTAGTTAGACTACTAATACAATAGTGAATAGTATTAGTAAAATTGAATGAGTTTTCAAATATAACATATTTTATATTTGTTTTTTATTATTTAAAACTTTTATTTTTAAATAAATAATTTATTATAATAAATTTAAAAAAAATTAATTGAAAAAACTTATAATTTCAATTTTAAAATTAACTTGAATTAAAAGTTGAAAAATACTCACAACTGCATTAGAGGTTGTTTTATTCACATCTATCAAGATAGACGTTCAATAAAATAAAGTTTTTTAATAAAATTTTAGCAGATTAAACAAACTTTTTCATAAAATGTTTTGTTGTTTTTTGTTTACATTTCATTACACTTTTTACTTTTAAAAACTGTTGTTATGGCAACGACGTGTCCCAAGAACTATTTTTGTGTAATGTTATTTGATCTTTGCACAATATTTCATAGTTGAATGTCAATTATAGGAGTAATATTTAAGCAAATTAAATTTTTAAAATAAATTTTAATTAAATTTTAGTTATTCAATTTATTGTCATGATTATCGTTATTTTTTTTATATCATAGCCGTATATTTTTGTTACAATTATATAATGAAAAGATGACTATAAAACTCAAATCAAATGCAAAGTATTTTTAATAGCTAAACAAACAAATAATTTTTGTTGCCACTGGTGACAAATTTTGATGTGTAATGCTTCTCTTCAACTGTCATCAAAAAGTCATTTTATTGAATTTTAAACTGGTGTCATATTTCTCAAAAATATCAGATGAAGATGTCAAAGACTTCAAGCAGCAGTAGCAGTGGTAGCAGTAATAAAACATTTCATCCAGTTCCTGATGCTCCTGATGAGGAACTGTTAGAAACATTCTCATTTGTATTTTTATTCAAATTAAAAAGTTTTTATTTTTCAGCATAGTGAATATAACTTTAAATTTTGAATTATTTTCAAGTATATAAAATTATAGATGTTGATATTCTTGGAGGAAAAATTGATAGAAATTACATATTGATAAATAAAGCATTAATAAATTGACATATAAGGTCTGAAAGTCTTCAAAGTGGTTCATTAGCAGATAGATGTGCCCACTCTGCAAGCTTTGATCTTCCTGACAAATTAGAAGTTGAGCCAAACAAAATCTCTAAAAGTTTATTTTTTTCTAATCTTCCATTTTTAACTAAAACTCATTTGCATAGCAGTTTATTTAATAAACATGTATAATACTCTACCTACATACTTTCACAGAAGTCTAACATTTGGTAAATTGATTAGATAATTATTAATGCTAGATAGTAACTTCTAAATTAATTTTCAAAATAACTTTTTACTCAGAAATTTTTCCAGTTCGACAGAGCTTGCCAATGTCTTTCACTTCCTTTTCAATGAAACTCCCATCAATTGAACACCTACATCATACGATCACTGGCACTTCATATTTTTCAAGGTACTCTCAGTTCAATAGGTCCACGTTGGTAGCTAAAACTTCAAAAACCAGGCAGTTTCCATTTTACTGTGTGGCTCCAGAACCTCTTCCTAGGTTATACACAGGTGTGTCCATGGCTTTCCAACAATTTTTGAGGGATGTGTTTTATTTTGTTTTTATTTAAAATAGTTTTATATAATGATTTGTTTGAATACAACAAAATTTGTCGTAATTTTATTCGCGTTGCTTCAATTTTTTGCCAAGACTTTGGAAAACTAGCACACAACAAAAATAATCTTCATTGAACGATGAGAAGATTTGTGGATTCACTGTTCTTTGTAAAACATCAATGGATAAACTGTTAAACAAATAACCTGTATACATTTTAATAACTTGTAACGAATGAATGATTCAGCCTTACAGGATTCAGATGACGAAGAAAGCAGTTATGATGATGAAGATGATGAAAGTATGAACATTATAAAGAATGGAGCAAAACATTCAACCGCCAGCCAATCACAAGTATAAAATGCAATGCAACTATAAAATATATATTTGAGAAACTTTCACCCCGTAATTTCGTTTTGAAATCCATTTAATTAATAATTGATGCATTTAAGGACGACTTTCATCTTCGTGCAGGTTGATGAAAAGTTGGACTAACCTGCTCTATTGTGATACGCGTGCATATACATTAATATTTGTATGCGAACTCATTGTTTTAGCTTACAACAAATGCTTCATTGTGTGTGTGTGTGTGTGTGTGTGTGCGCGCGTGTGTGGTATGTGAGGCACTGTCATTAATACATTAATACATAGTTATCATCAACGTTTTTTTTTGAACGTTTTTTGGCCACACTAACCTAACCACAAAACGAATGCAAAGAAGCCGCCACAAAACTTAGACCCTCTGGTTCGCAGAGACAACATCCAAAAACCAGCAAAAAAGCCTAGAGCAAGCCCTTCTCTATCTAGCTTAAATGTATACCAGGAGATTCACAAAAAGCAGGAACTACCCGAAAAATTATCACAGCATTTCGTAATAACAGATGAGTTACTTTTCGAAGAGATGATGAAAAAAGCCACGAAGAAGGCAGAAGAGAGAAATGTTTTTAACGCGAAAATCGATCATTTAAAGTTGGTTGAGTTGGTTTTGCTGGATTTAGCGCATAATATTTTTATTCTGTTCTGTTTTTTATGTATTTTTTACGACTAAATGCATTGCTATATTAACTCAATGAATCGTCTTTCTTTCACTGTTCATTTAAACACATTTGTACCATCTTTTATTATGATGAATAAAAGTCATTAACTCATTCTCTAATTAAAATTTGAAAGATTAAAAATAACTTACGATGCGCTGGCACGGGAGTGGCTGGAATGTAATACGATTTTAAATAATGAACAAATGAGGTTCATTGCTAACAAGGTTCTACCCGTGTTGGTCCTTGGTCTCATTAAGGTAGTTTCGGTTCAGGTTTTGCTTTCTTTTTTTTTGAATAATTTCAAATTTACTGTGGCAAGAAGATAAAAATAAGCGGTACTTTTACGACTTTAAAAATTGATCATCATTATAAACTGATATCTTACTCTATTTTTGAAGGTGCTGGAGGTGGCTGAAGAGAAAAATTTATTGGATGGGAACAAAGTGGACAAAAACTTTAACCCCATCAACTATCTGGCCAGATATCTTATCAGGAACAACCCCAAGTTAATTTTATTACATATTTTAATGTTTTTTTTCATTTTTCTTATTTTTGATAAATATTATTTCATTTTAATTTACGTTGTTTATTCATTTTGTTTTTCATTTTACAACAATTTCATCTTGTATTTAACTCTTTATGACTTTCAGTCTAATTTGCTACAGCTATCAATTTTATTCCGATTATTATTGCTATAATAATAATAATTGTTATTATTAATTATCGTTATTCGTGTTATAATTATTGCATTATCGCTTTTATGTTTTCTCCGTCATAATTATATTAAATTGTTGTAATATTCCGCGCCAGTTACTCGCCCTTCAATGAGACAGATCCATATGTTCACAGTCTGAGGATTGTCTTCAATTCAGTGCTTAAGGGAAGCATAGATGACCCGCCAAACTCGTTAGTTTTATATTCATTCATAGGTTTATTCATTTGTTCATACGTTCATTCATTCATTCATTCATTCATTTTTTTTATTAACTTAATTAACTGCTTAATTGATTGAATAATTGATTGATTGATTGATTGACTGACTGACTGACTGACTGACTGACCGACCGACCGACCGACCGACCGACCGACCGACCGACCGACCAACCGACTGACTGACTGACTGACTGACTAACTGACTGACTGACTAACTGACTGACTGACTGACTGACTGATTGATTTTGACTGAAGCCTTCTAAGTTTGAAGTTCAAAGTGCACGAAAGAAGGCTGCAGTGCGAGACAGAAGTTTTGAAGAAGAGCAAGGAAAGACAGAGAAGAATGTCAGCGCTGAGGGAACTCTTTGCCCAGTGGAACAAAGGCAGAAGGATACCCTTGACTATGGTGATGAAGATGATGATGGTCAAGCTGATGGTTGTCGCGACAAATATGATTGGGATGTTGATTTCGATGATTACGATAATGTTGATGGTCTTTTTTGGTCATCATGTTTGTTAATTTCGTTAAATTCGTCATCACTTTTGTAATCATTCCCTCTTGAATGTACCGCAGGCACAGAACGCCCTCATATCATTCAGAGATTACGTTGAAACTCTTAACGTCAAACATCGCAACCAAGGTAGAGAAATTTTGTAGTAGTAGCGGTTGTAAAAATTGCAGTAGTGGCAGTAGTAGCAGCTGTAGTAACGGCCAAAGTAGCAGTTGTATTGGCTGCAGTAATGCTAATAAGAGGTTTTTTTTTAAATAATTTTATTCATATTAGTAAGTGACATATATGACAATCCATCATTCACTGTTCAATTTGAATTATTAAAAACTGCTCTTAGGCCAGTTCAGCAGAGAAATTGAGATAACAAATCAACCCGGG